TTGTGTTCATTTGTACCCAATGGCAGATGTACTCAGTGGGATTCAGCAGCAGCTTAACACCATTTCCACTGCAATCAATAGCAAAACTCCTAAATACTGGAGCTGGAAAACAATTAGGCCACTATTGGGTACATTAGAAAAAATATCGATTTGGTGACATCGAGGTTTAGTGTTGGTGAGTTTGGCTTTGTTAATGTCAGGGAAACTGCCCTTGTTATGATCAAAGCTGAACTTGAACCAAGTTACACTATTCAGTCCAATTCTATCTCTACCTCGGATTTAGCTTCTCCCTGATACTGTTCTGATATTCTAGCAATGATTTCTGTAGGCCAGCCTGCAGTCAGCAGCTGAGGACAGCTAGGTCAGCCAATATCACAGTCTTTTCTTTGAAAAATCTGAAAACAAATTCCAAAGAGAAGATGCTGCTCCCAAGTATTACCTTCTTTAACTTCGCTTAGGGGAGCCTAAATTTCTGCTTCCGCAGACACCTTGCACAAGTGCCTCTCTTTTATGCTCCAGACAGAGACATGTGACTTTTTACAGATTTCAAGTGTGTGATGGAAATTCACAGCTCCATGGATTTTAAGGCCGGAGAGGCTCCTGCATTAATCTAATCAGAGCTAATGCATAGCACGGATCAGGAAACTATTATCAACTACTTCCTACTTCAAGTCCAGCAGCTGAAGTCGAACTAGGATCTCGGGTCTAGAAAAACACACAGAAGTTTAAGAGGAAGTTTAATAGTCTTTCAGGGGACAAACTCACTAGAGCTTTGGGTGGCTAGTTCCAATTAGTAACTTCATCCAGTGATCAAACAGGCCTAGTATTTCTACATTCAATCTAGTTACAGCTTATAACTATTAGTTTCCAATACACTTTTTGTACCCAAGACTGTAATACCCTCTGTTATCATGTGCCTATCCTCCTTATCACTCTCTACAGACCATGATGAAGCTATGTCTTAACCTTCTCTTTAATAAACTAGGTGGATTGAGACCCTTGAGTCTTATAAAACCCAAGCTCCGATTGTTTACTTATTCTCTCAGATACTTTCTAAATTTGCCCAATTTCTAAACTTTTTCCTTGAAGGACAAAGAAGGATAGGATATCCTACTCAAAAGGATATCCTACTCAAAAGTAGGATAAGTAGGATAGTAGGATATCCTACTCAAAAGTAGGATAAGGTAGCAGAGAAGTAAACACCTACTGAAATAGAAGCTTACAAAGAAGCAAGAGATGACAAAAAGACCATGCAAAGCAGTGCCCATTTACAAGTATGCTTCCCTAAGTTATCCTGTCAATTCCAAGACGCTGATACTCGATTCTCCTACCTATCCTTCCACTCAATTATTTCAGTCAACCAGTGATTTCCATTAGTGGTTATTGCAAGACCTTCCCAGCTTAAGAACACACACTATGCCTTTGCAGAATTTTTTGGAAGCAGAGCTCATTAGCACTACAAGGCACTAAACCAACTGACAGTCTCCCCCAAACCACTACTCGTGTCACAATTGAGCTCCACTAAAGTAGGATTGTGTTCTTTCCCATCCCCCGCCCTGGAAATATCTGCCTTGCTTCAAGGCCAGCACTAGAGGACTCAGAAGAAACAAAAGGCACATGGACACAAAGCACACATATGGAGCTCTGGGCTTCAATCATCAAGCCTGGGACATCTGTGGCTTTCTCAGGATGCCCGTGTGTTCAAGTAATTAGACCAGGGCCAGCTGTCCCCTTCTTGCTCTTCACCCTTTATGCTCCCATTGCTTCTACTACCTCTGTCTGTCCAAAGAGTATTTCATCTGATGGATCACCAAATGAGTAGGTTTTTTTGTTGTTGTTTATTCTTTGGAAGGAAGGAGTGGAAGAGAACTGGTGAGGCAGTAAAGAGGAGACAGGATTCTCCTGACTATGTCTCGTGAGACACCTCAACGTTTCCAAACAAGCTTTTGCCACGTGAGAGGAAAGATTTACTTTAACCTTTATATTCTGAAGTTATAAACTCCAAACACTTGTATTGGTACTGAAAATTAAACCATCAGTAGTGAACCCACCTGCTCAGGAAAGCTTACTGCTTTAAGGACACATTCAGTTCTTGTATTCTGGGCCTAATTTCCCTGTCAGCGATCCAGAAGTAATTCAGGGAAATCAATGAACTGTATTTCAATCTCAAAATGCTCACTGCAACACACTCCTTTCTGAAATCTTTCTGTCAATTTTGTGCCACAGCAAGCTAGAGTTATGGTGGGAGGCAGGTCTCCACATCTGTGGGGGTTACCGCAGTGCAGTTGAAGAAACCCAGCTGAAGCCTTTACCAGTTGTATGAAAGCAGGAGCAAGAACAGAACCAACCCTTTGTTCTCAACTGTGAAATTACATTTGTAGCTTTGCCCCAAAGCCAAGCTCCCAAACAGGCCCAAGCTGGAGCTGGGAAAGGAACACTGCTCCCCAGCCTGCATTTAGCGAGTAAGGACATGACAAAGCAAAAGGCTCCCATGTGCACTAAGCAGCCCTGTCCTTTGACAGGGCAGCAAGTGCTTGGATGATACATTTACTGCAGCTTGTGCTGCAGCGTGCCTGCCCGTGTATCATCTCCATAGCAGCAGTTCTGCTAATTGAGACCAGCTGCTTCAATTCCAAATTTTTCTCTCCAGAAATATCGATACTACGGCATTATGATTAGAAAGCACTTTACCAAATGCCTCTCAATTCTGCACAGCTCAGATGAAGAGCAGCTGCAGAGAGAAGGGACAGTTCCCTGAACATACAGAATAAAATACTGCAAAAACACTGGAGAAATGAAGGCTACAAGAAGCAAGTCAAAATAGAATAATGATGACAAGGAAAGCAGCCTGCTGTATATGCTTGTGCCTGTCACTTCAGATGTTGATAGGACCGTGAGCAGACTTCTTCCTTATGCTCTAGGATAAATGGCCACAGCACTGCACTGTTACAGCTTCATGTGGCAGGTGTGCATGTTTGTCAGATCCAGTTTTTCTGTCCAAGGCTGGATTAAAGCAAAATCCATCAATCTGGGCCTGGCTTGGGAGAGTAGATGTGGTCTTGAATCATTTGGCTCCAGGGGCTGTTCTGCACAGCCCACTGGCAAAGAAAGTCACTAGAACTGATAAGCTAGTGGGAAGCTGCACAAAGTAGGAACACCACCACAGTACTGTGACTTGGCTTCACTGTTGGCTATTTCCCTGCGGCTGCTGACTCCACACAGCAGGCTGTCAGCTGGATGCTTCGCAATGGTCACACTGGGATTGCCAAAACCTGCATTTTTCCCCTCCAGCCAGACTGGATTAAGCTGGCTAACAGTACAGTCAATTCTAAATTCACTTAGAAGTCTCAGGCCCTGTCTGTGACCAGCAGACAGAGGGCATTCCTGAAAAGACATCTGGTTACTGAATTTATGCAAGAACTGGGCAAACCACTTCAATCCCATCTGTTGTTCCAACCTCCTGAGCACAGAGAACAGAATCCTTGAAAGAGAAAATCTTACCAAGAAGGGTCTGTAAATGAGAACTACAATAAAACATGTGATTTCCTCCTGAGAAAGATGCTGTACAATCCTACAGAAAACATGGCACGCTTCAGCATGTGGCTGTGTAAACAAGGGCCTAACACACCATTTCACAACTCCGATTTCATACTACAACCGAGGTAATGCAACACAACTAAAGCAGAGAGATTGCTTTGCTATGCTAAGTGATTTGCCTCCTACTCTGAAAATCAATGAGGTAAATAAAATGTTTTATACAAATACCAGACAGTGTCTCTCAGAGAACAAAATGTTCATGTTTGTTAAAAATATTCCTATTATTTTACTCTGGAAAATATCCAGTGTTTAGTGTCTCATTCAGATTTTAGCATTTACACACAGTTTTCTTACCTATTTCACTTTCTAACTTTTGGTCTATATTAGAAGTCTGTTTGAATCCACAGTACTGCAGGAGAAGGAATATATCAATGAAATTCCAGAAAGGTAAAGTCTGAACACATTACAATGGAATGTAAACTTTCAGAATTCTTCTCTGAAAAAAAAATAAACTTATATTTTTTGTGTAACATTCACTGACTCTATATTAGCTGAAAATCCATTTTCTTTCTGCTCTGAGTAAGATTGCTATACTTGTGCTTGGAAACAGCTGACACAGAAGTCCATATAGGAAACAGCAGTATAAACTTATATGCTCTGTGTGCTTCTATAGGGAAGTTACCTCAGCAAAGTGCTCCACGCTGCACACAAAGCTGTTAGCGTAATTTGCAGGTGACAGTGTGATGGAATTCGTTGATTGCACTGCAGTTGTGTTCCTTCCCATCAAGATGAATTTAGCCTTTCTAGTCACCAAATCACATGCATAAACTGTTATGCATACATTTATTTTATTTTTAGGTTTCCAAGATCAATCAATGACATTCATGTGAGGAGAATCACAAGGCTAGGTAAAAAACAAACTAAGCTCCTCTGAACACTAACAGTCATTGGGACCATTGGGACAAACACCTTGATGGTTTCCAATGGCATAGCTCTGTGGATTGTAAACAGAATTACAACAGCTCTAAACAGTCACAGACCTTGGCACATCAGATCATAAAGAACCCATGCATCAGAGCAAGCAGTAGGAGTATTCAAGTAACAGATTTACTAGCCTCTGTTAAATCCCCTCATGCTGACGTCTGTACACCTCAGTCTGCAATGTACCGCAACCACACAACTGCAGTGGTGGAAGTCCAATGCCCAACACACACCTGCTCCAACAGAGAAGCAAGACCTCTACAGCTGACCGTTTATTTTGTTCGCAAAGCACAGGCATACTCCCGTTTAATTTCAACTGCCCTAGCCTCCCCCATAACTAAATTATTGTTATTATGCTCTGCATAATCCTAGTACTGACAGGGATGTTTGTTATACATAATTAAAGATATTAATTTTGCATGGAACAGAAGACACAGAGCGAGGAATTTAATTTTTTTTTAAATCTCCCATTAGAAAATTACCTTCATTAGCACCGACTCACTGAGCTTCTCTCTGTTGACAATTTTTATCGCGACCTTCTGACACGTGACACAGTGAACCCCCAACTTCACAAGCCCTGCAGGAGAAACAGAGCAAAACAGAAAGGAAGAATTGGTTAGACACAGTCGCTGTTGAGTTTTTTGCTATTAGAACACCATCCAGCACTTATATGCAAATAAATTCCCACCGGTATCTTCTCCAGCCAGATAAGGTCGTGTGAGTAACGATGACTCCGCAGCCCACATTGCGACAATTCGGTTGTGAAGCCACCAACATCCTTGATGCTCCTGCGGTTCCTGCCACTAAAACTGTGTTTCTGTTGAAACACTGTATTCCACCTCGAACAACTCAAAGTGCATTCTATCAATAAGAAGTTCTGCCAATTGAACCACACTGGACTAAGGGTTTTTGTTGACACTTGACATCAACAAAAGCTCATAAATCAGCAGAACTAGATGGTCATATGTTTGCAGTGTAGACGTAGATTCTGCTATTCTCTAGCTCCTTCCAAAGCTTTTATGATCCTAATAAAAAGGTACTTAATTATGGTTTCATTTACTATTTTAATTTACCCTCCTGGATAAACTTAGGACTGTGATGAATGCCATTGTTGTGTGGACGAACATCAGCATATGCTGATACAATTATAAGTTCTTCTTACTTGTTATTACTTACTATATCCTTGTCCTCAAATAATACAGAGTGCTGTTAAGTGATTATATTGGCAAAATGATATGGATATCCCTGACAGGATCAGGATGTCTGAACTACCCTCAAAATACGGAACAGAACCCCAAGACTTAAAAAAAAAGAAAGCTAAGAAACATACATGAAGCATTACCTTCTGCAAAATTTTCATCTAAATCTGCTGACTTGCATGAAAGTGCATTAAGATAACTCCTACAAGTGAGTTTAAGATGGTACCCTGAGCTCTCTACTGCCATTAAGAAAATCTGTAGCTGGAAGAATTGTAGGTTATTCAAGTGAGATCTTGTTGGCTTCAGCTTTTACTCTTGTCAAACATGCACATGAAGCACAACACCTGATGGGCTGGATCCCATCCCACTCCACACACTATATGCCAAATTGCCATTTAGTTTAATTCAGTTATAACAGAAGTAAAGAGAAATTGCACCTCCCTGGTGTCACTAAGACCTGCTGTGCTTTGCACAGTATTTATGAGCAATGACATCACAGAGTAGGAAAAAGCCTAACTTAGCTAGCAGCTCCTAGGCTGGGCTGCAGTTAAGAAGCCAACCCATTCCTTGGTGCAAACCACAGAGCCAAACACATTGCTTTATCTGGAATTTCAACACCAGATTTGCAGTCCAATGAAACTCCGAACACAGGACTTCACATGTCTTACTGAAGGATAAACATACAGACTACTGCCTTACTACAAACTGGCTCCAATGAAGTGAACTAGAGCTTCTTCAGGGACTCCAGCAGTCTCCTGTGGGTACTTGTCCATGCTTTTTCTACACAGTTAATAATAAATTTGGAACTATTAATCACTGGCTATTAAGTGGAGAAATAAACTCCCAACTTGCTTCCAGTCACATATCTTTTACAGCATGCTCAAGTCTTCTGAATATTTCTAGTCACATAATTTCTCACTCTTATTTGGTTAAATGCTGACCTCCTCACTTTCAGCTATGACATAAACAAGTCACAAAAGTTAAGAATGCAATGCACTGACAAATCCATTTGAAAATGTGCAACAGTGTGTCCTCAGCCCGAAGCAAATGAGAAGCACAGCTGGGGAAAGACGCTGTGATGTCCAGCCACACTCACTCTTCTGTATGGTTTTTTTCTATTCAATTTATAATATTAACCATAGCTCTACTGGCTCTCTGTTCACTGTTCAGAGCAGCTGCAGCCTTCCTTACGCTTCTTCCCTTTGGCTTTGTTCTGTGTTTGGATAGCAACTACTTGGCACCACCCTGCTGAAAGTGTGCACTGTTTCAATCTGTGCCAATTGCTTCCTTCCTGCTTCTAGTACAAATTGCAGCTCTACATCACTCTTGCAGCATGACAGCACTTTTTACACTGCTCTCAGTTACTTTCAAATCTCAGCAGAACTTTTAGCTCAGTCCTCTATATCGAGACTCCTGGGATCTGTGGCACAGTGCTGTATTGTAACATGGTGCAGACCAATTATTTTCAGAGGTCAATGAAGGTGAGAAACAATTGTTCTCTGAGTCTTCACCAGTGATATACCAGACTTGTGGTATCTCACACTTCAGGGTTTGATTTCCAATCTTGTTGCTCCCAAATTAAGACATCTGTTTCACTGAACGTGGCTTATTCGTGAAGTATTTTTCTTTTGTCCTCCCTGAAGCACCCCATCATTGAGTCAGAGAAGGGTTTAACCATGAGCTTCTGGGACACTGTCATGCTGTACAGGCTATCTTCACAGTGTCCTCTGTCTTTCTAGCTACTAACTTAGAAAATCAAAAATTAAGTTTAAACCATTCTGTTTACTCAAACGAAAAGTAAATAAACTGTTAGAAGACACCAAGACTTTGCAAAAATAAAACTCAGTCACACCGATTTTATACTAATTAATTTCATCACCCTCAAGAAATCATTCTTGATTTACACCATGGTATCAAAGGACAGAATGAGAAAACGTGAGATTTAATGCAGTATTCCTCTTCTCCTGATCTGCATTTTAAAAATCAAGAAAAAAAATGCACTGTCATCGCTGTTTTGTGGAGACAGAACTTCTAGACAACTCTCTGAACAGCCCAAGACAGCACTTTTCACTGTACTAAATTCAGTGAATGTAATTTTAGAATGAAAATAAAACATGCCACTCTGCCTTGCTTCCTCCCTCCTCCCCGAGCCACTTCCTTTCACCATTTCCATGCCAGACTAAGCAAAAAAACCCCAAAACCCTCTTAGTAAGTCCATCTATAGGACAACACCCTCCTGCTACTATGATGAAAGCCTAACTGAGTTTGTACTCAGGACTTCTGTTTCTGTCCTGTAATTTCAATTAAGTGTATAACTACTGAGAGATGACTTACATGTGGATTTGAGTTCCTGTGGGCTTCTGATTCTTAAGTCCTTTTAATGACATGGAGAACATTAACTATTTAAGATGTATTATTTATCTACATAATAATGGACCTATGAGAGAATAAGAAGCAACTGTGTGACTGAACTACTGAGCTGTTATGGAAAAAACTGAAGTGGCAGAATTGCCTGTTTAGAAACAAGGGTCCAAGGTGTGTTTGCAGGGTTATGGAAGAGGCTGTGCATCTTCCACTTTTTCCTCTCCTGTATATTCAGCTGTAAATGAGCATCTCAAAACTATACAAATCCTCCAATACAAATGTGTCAATAAGTTAGGTACTTATTTGTAAAGCTTATCTACACATTCAGGCCAGCATAGGTACCTGTGTACCTCTGTCTTCCCCAAAGGAAAATAAACAAGGCTGCTGCTGCTAAGAGGATATTTTGCACTGGCTTGGCCTAAAGCAAATCTGCCAGGCAACAAATAGAGTTTGAAATTGTCAGCTTCATGAATAATTAACTCCTCAAATGCAGGCATGTAACCTTCACGACTATTAAAGTTAAGTCCTGTCTGTCCTGACAGAAAATCTAAGATGCTGTGGGAATCAACCACTTGCAGTTTCTCTCAACCACCCACACAGCTGTACACACACACATTCCTTCAGGCACATTTCAGATCCCCACCCACAGGTCATTCCTGGGGGCTCGTGGACACTGACACACTGGGGCTTTCAAATAGGTTGTTGCATCCTAGAGCTGGCTAGAAGCATTGGGCTGCTTTTGATCTTAGCCACTGAACTGCACCAGAACCAGCCCTATAACTGAAGGTGGAGAGTAAAGAAGGAAACATGAAAACACTGAAAAGCAAGGGGATGTGTAAGTTAACATGGACTTTTTATCCTAAGTTAAAGGCACTATTTGAAAAAGAATGAGCATGAGGAACCCTATATGACACAAGGGAAAGATTCCACTGACAGAAGAAGAGCAAAGGGAAGCATACAGGCCTGAGACAGCCTAATGCTGCAGCGACCTGCTAGTAACCACACCTATGCATTTTGCTGCTCATAAACTCTCACTCTGTGGATGCTCAGAGATACAAAGATCTTTCCCGAAAAGGATAGGAGCTTATATGATGAGCAAGGGACAGAATTAGATCAGCTGGAGAGGTGGACAGTCTCTGAAGCAGTTCAGAGAGAAGCAGTACAGAGAGAAAATTCTTCTTTTACCCAAGAAGAATGTTCTATGGGGATGGAGAAACAAAAGTTTCCCTCTAAATGAGACAATACGCTCACTGTGAATCCATGACCACAGCAAGTGGCCTATATTGTAACTGGCAATCACCTCCTCGACTTTTCAGCCAAGAACAGGATTTCAGAAAAGGCTGATTTACTTTTGCCTTGCATTTTGTGCAGTAATTTTTCTCTAACACAGACTGAAAAAAACACTAAGACCTGGTGCTATTTGATACCCACATCCCAACTGCATAAATAGTAGCATCTTACTAATGATCCTGTTATTAAAACTCTTCATTAGAGAAAGAAACATTCTAGAAACAAGAGACAATGTTTTCAGTACTATCCAAACCTGAAGTCTGCCAGAGACACTGATCTGAAACAAATCATCATTTTAAGTGAGAGAGAAAGTAATAAATAATGAAATATCACTGTTGTTTAAATACAGCACTTATGGTATATCCATTGTTAATAACATTCCCAGTCTTTCAGAAATGTTAAACACAAGTAACTCATTATCCTGATTTTTAACCATTAGGCCAACAACTACTTCAAGAAGTGGAATGAAAAATTAGGTACATTTGCTGTATTTATTACATACAATTTTTCCAGTGGCAAATGGAAGTCTTTTGTTTTCTTTTAAAATAAAACCAACCAAATGCCCTATTCATAAGCATTGATAAATTTCTGTAGCAGGGAAACCAGCCACTGATTTCAGAAGATCATCTGCACATACATGTTGCTTGCTCTTCATTTCACTTCAGTTCCTTGTTGAAAAATTTAAAAATTTAAAAAATCCAAGTGGAAAGCCCTGGTCTGGATA